AATATCTAATTCATACAAAGCGTTTAGGTTTTATTAAATTAGAAAATGTATATTATGTTTGTGCTACATGTTGGTAATTCACAACTGAGTAGGTATTTTACAATCCTACTAGTATATTGGGCTGTTTCTTTTTGTTGCTAAGTACAAGAATAGCTTTCATTTTTGGTTAGTATCTCAAAAAACATGACTCTTCTCATACCCCTTTGTAAATTTTATATTTCTCTACTATGGAAACATGAGTATTTCAAGCCACTCCAATTTATTTGTATGTTTTAATTATCTTCTACTAAAATGTACCCCAGATTAAGAAAGCCAAATGGTCACATAAATCAAGAAACTTTTAATTTTTCCAGTAGTTTATATCTACACTTGGTACTATATAAAAACCACAGATGTGCTAATCAGTTTTAGGTAGAGAATAGTGAACTTGGGTGGATATTTATGGTGGTTTGATTATAGTAATGACCCCAATTTGCTCACACCCTTCTATATCCATGCCTTTGTTAGTATTCTCTTTTTCAGATTTGGGGCTCAGGCATGCGATTTGCCTTGGCCAATGGGAGAGTAGAAAACAACCAATGGAAGCAAAGACTTGAAAACACTTGCACATTAGTGCTTCCTCCACTGTTGTGCTTCACATGCCACCACTAGGTAAATAAGATCTAGCCAGTCTCTGGATGATGGGACACATGGCTCAGTCATTCCCATTACCCCAGCAAACACGGAGCCAAACTCCAGACCAGAGTGAGGCCACTCTGGATCAGGCAGCTTCCCACATTAGCAATCCCAGCCAAGATCAGAAAAACCTCTCCAGATCAGAACTTGCAATCTGACCTGTAGACTTTTGAACAAAAACACATGGTTGCTCTTTTAAGCGCTAAGTTATGGATTGGTTTGTTACACAGAAATTAATAAATTATATGATATACGTAGGACATAGCAGTACAAAAACATATTTCCAAAGAACATTAACATTTTCATATCATGTATCTGTTGTTATATGAAAAGTCCTTTGTGAGTAACTAGATTTTTAGTGTGGGATGTGACCCTTACTTTATCCTTGGCTTTATAGATACCCTAAACATTTGTCAAATCAATAAAAAAAAAAAATCAGGCACCAATTAAGTGCCTGGAACATCACTAGATGCTGAGAACACAAGGGTGAATCAGCTAGACTACTAAGGACTCTATGTTTATTGAGCTTACCCTGAAGTCAAGTTCTTGGACTATTACAATATACTCTCTGATACTTGCCATGGAAAATTCTTTGTTCTCCTAAGTCAAGCTGACTTCCAAAAATTGCTCCATTTATGCATTTCATTATATATGGCCATGATCTTTCCCTTCTCCCAGAAATTCTTCAGCAATGATATTCATTGGTTCTGTTCATTGATATTTCTATTCTCATTCTTTGGGGAAACATGGTAGCATTGTACTTTCCCATATGCAGTAGGCTGCAAAATGGCCACAAATTATTTCTTTCCCCTGTCTATACCCCTTTGGAATGTGTCTTCCAGATATTTTTTTAAAGACATAGAATCTATTTTACCATCCTGATGCTTGGCTTGGCTATATGATTTGCTTTAGCCATTGGAACTAGAGCAAATGGGACTCAAGCTGAAACTTAAAAAGTATTTGTGTATTGGGGCTTGCTCTCTTGCTGCTCTTAGAATACTGTAACTGCCACCATGTGAACAAGCCAGGGCTAGCCTCTTGATGATGAGGGACACCTGGCCAGATTGCTCTGTTGTCCTGGCCGATAGTCAGCTCACCCTCAGAAACAGAGCTGCCTTGCTGACAGGCAGATAATCACAAATACCCAAGTAAGCGCAGCCCAGGCCAGGAGAAGTGTCTGGCTGAGGCTAATACAAATTTCCATTCCATACAATCATGAGCTAAATGAATAGTTGATGTTTTAAGCTATTAAGTTTTGGAGTGGTTTGTTATGCCCTTAAAGCTATCTGATATATCTCTCCTTTGAAGTTAGGCATGACCACATGATTTACTTCATCCAGGGAACTATGTCACTTCTGGCAGAAGCTTTTAAAAGCTGGATTGTGATTCAGCATCTTATTTTTCTTGTCATAGGGTGCTTCCAAATGGTAGGGCTTCATAAACTTGGGTCCCTTTATGGACATGGAACAGTTCTCCCCATTCTCCCTGATACTTTTCAGAGAACATATAGTTTAAGAAATAAATCTTTGTAGTAATGAGCACTGGGTATTATATGTAAGTGATGAATCACTAAATCCTACACCTGAAACCAATTTTGCCATACACGTTACCTAACTAGAATTTATATAAAACTTGAAATAAAAGAAATGGATCTTTGTATTAAACCTCTGAGATTTTGGGTTACTGTTACTAAACCATAACCTAGTCCATTCTGACTAATGTAGAAATTGGTACCCAGGAGGTATAGTTATGACAGAAAACCTAAAATATGTAGCTGTGATTTAGAAACTCAGTGGGTGGTGGCAAGGAAACTATTGTTAGTAGCTGGAAAGTTGGCAATCCATGCTAGCTGTGGTAAAATATTTGCTAGAACTATTCATGTGTGTCTCCCATTCTTCCCCGTTCTAAATAGGAATGTTTACCATGGTTATTCTGTCACTATTCCAGCACTGTTTGTTGAGTACGAGTGTGTGCCTGTGTGTGTGTGTGTGTGTGTGTGTGTGTGTGTGTGTGTAACCAGGGAGGATAGATTATCTTTCACAAAAGAAGTTTTATCCTGTTTTAATAAGGGACTACCAAGATTCACCCAGAGATGCTGAACTTTGAGATTAATGCCTTTACTGAATGAAAACGTTAGAATTGTCTCACGTGTGATAGGAGTGAATGTATTCTGTATCATAAGTTGAGTGAACTACAGGTTGATGACTAGAAGAATGGATTGCAGTAATCATTGGTGCAGTTTACCTGTAAATTTGGGTTATCTACCTTCTGAGAAAAAAGAATTATACTTCCCTGCTCCTTTAAAGATAGTACGCTCATATGGTTTGCTTTTGTCAATGAAATGGGAGTAGAATTGAGTTGTATAACTTTCAGGAAGAACCAGTTTGCCATGCATGTTCTTTCTGCATATCGTGAAAGTGGGGACATTCTAGAGATTGGAGCCTCCTTAAGTCATCTGGTTGCTTGGTGAGAACCATCTGCAGTCCTCCCTCTCTCCCATCCCTCACCACCCGGCAGCCCCCCATGAACAGTCAGATGAGCAGGAAATACCATTTTTTGCTGTTTTAGATTTTTTGTTACTGCACCATAACCTAGCCCATCCTAACTAATGTAGATTACTGTAAAAGTGATCAGGAAACCTACAAAGGCTGATCATCTGGGCAATTGTAATATGAGTGGAATCTGTAACTGAATCCATCCATTGATCATTCCAAAAGCATCTTCACAAGTGATTTCACTTGCTCCTCCAACTATGACCATTCTGGGAAGGGTGACTGTGAAATTCAAATTTCATCCTTTTTTCTTTATGAAAATGTAAAACTACATCTTCATTATTGAGAGGTAATGAACAATGAAACACTTTTTCATAGGAAGAAAAAAAAAAAGGAAGCAAGCAAGCAATCCAGAAAGCCAATAAGGATAAGCCACAAAACAGGGAGGGTGGAACTGAACTCAGAATGCATAGGAGTTTCCAAGAAGAATAAAACGTATTGTCCACAGACTTGGGCATACATTTCCAGTAATACACAGTACTTCTCAGCAAACTTTGGGTGTCTTAGCTTTGGCTTGACCCCTGCACATATACAGAACTTCATGCACACTCTGGTGCAAAAGTAAAAAATGTCATTGGAGTTTATATTTAATCAAAAGTTTTCTCTCTCTCTCTGAAGAAATATTTTCTCTAGCATAGCGTAGAATTTATTCCATAACATTTGTAAAACGCTAAATCCCGTGCCATGCACTGTACTAGAGTCAGAGAAGTGAGAGATGTCAAGGTACAGCCGTCTCAGTGGGTCGCTGTCCTACGGGAGTTTACATTTTGTGGAACATAAGTTTCCCCTTTCGGAGTTTTCACCTAGCCACACCCAATCCCCCCCGTAAATAATTTTCTATGAAAAGCCTCTTTTTTCCTAATCCTTGTAAATACTCTCGCTCTCGGAGATCTCTTTGCCCTGGAACTGAAGTCACTTTGGCATCTCCCTCTGGATGTTTGGCAGTTATTTCTGATGCGGCCGAATGGCCGGCTTGCTCTATTCCTGCATCTATTCCTGCTCTATTCCTGTCATCCCGGTGGCAGGATGACAGTGACCCCCAAAAGTTTCCAAGACTTAAAGCACAAAGCGCAGACAACTCGGGCGGTTTCCACCGCTCTTCTATCTGGGAGCCCAGAGAATGTAAGACGGCTGGGTCAGACCAGGCGACGCTGGCAGCGCAATCCTGATGGCGAGTTGGAGGCTAAACCCACAAGTCGCACAGCGCAAAGAAGTCAGAGGCCAGTCTGCAAGCCCAAGTGTGAGACAACTAGTGAGTGTCCGTCCCTGCTGGACTACAACGACCGGCAGGCATCGCGTCGCGGCGGCAAGCTCCGCTTCGGGACCCCGGCGCAACGGAGCCTGGGAAGTGAAGTCTCCAGGCGGCCTGAGTCGCGTCGCGAAGTCAGAAGGGAGGCGTTGCTAGTCCGCTCCATTAGCACGCTGGTTTCTGGCGGGGCTCCGAGGCTCTCGCTCCCGCTCAGGATTTTCGCGGGCGGTGGGAGCAGTATGGCTTGCTTGAGTAAACTCCGGCGGGAGGAGGGAGATGGGAGTGGATGGGGAGGCGGGGTCAGCGGAAGCGGCAGGTTGCTTCCTTCTCCTCACGCTCCCTCCCCGCCTCTCCCTGAGGGAGTGGTGGGAGGGGGAGGGAAGGGCAGAGGGAAGGTAGTGACACGTGTCAATCAACCCCCCCTCCGGGGGGTGCGCGCTCCGGGGCTCGCGCCGAGGGCTCGCGCCCCTGCCTCGTGCCTGCGCCGCTCGTATGTAAATGAGGGCGCGTGACGCGGGACGCAGATGGACAAGGGAAGAGAGAGAATGGCCGCTGCCGCCGCCGCTGCTGCCGCCGCCGCCGCCGCCGCTCAGTGCCGGAGCCCTCGGTGCGCGGCGGAGAGGAGAGGATTCCGGCGGGAACTCGACTCTTGGCGCCACCGCCTCATGCACTGTGTAGGTAAGAGAGACACGGGCCGGGGCCCCGGCTCCGCGCGGCGACGGCTGCAGCAGCCCGAGGAGTTTGTGGCTGAGGGGGTTAGTTCAGTCTCTCGTTCGGGTCAGTTCAATGGGGGAGCGCGATGGGAGCGGCGGCGGCGCGGCGGCCCCGGCGCTTGCCTTTTGTCTGGGGGCTCTCGCCCTGCGCGGTTCGCGCTCCTTCCCTTCTCAGCTCTTGGGCTCCTCAGGAACTGTTAGTTCGGACCCGCTCGCCGAGCCCCCGAGGAAACCTCTGGCTCGCGCTCTCCCCGAAACTCCGCGGTGCCCCCTCGCCGCCCGCCGTCCACCCTGTCGGGGGGAGGCAGCGGCCCGGTGGGTCGGCGCCGGGGCGGAGGGGAGCCTGCGGGCAGGGCCGGCGGGAGGAAGGCGGGCTGGTCCGCGCCCCCGCCGGGCGCACACACACCCCCTTCTCGCCGCCGGGGGCCGGGCGGGTAGACGCGGCCGAGTTCCCGGTGACTAGGACCGGGGCGACCCCCGGGCGCTCGCGGGGCGGGGGTCGCGGGTGGGCCGGCTGGGGGCGAGGGGCGGCGGGGGCGTCGCCCGAGGGGCGGGGGCACCCAACTCTGCCCTCTCGCGCTCGGCGGCGACCGCGGCGGCGGCGGCGCTGTGTGTACCCCTTTAAGAAGGAGCTGCTCGAGCGCTGACGGTTGGGATTTGAAGTTCTTCCTCCCTCTTTGGAAGTCTGGACGGATGGGGGGTGTTGCCATGGCGACGGCACCCTTCTCCCCCCGCCCCCCTTTCCTCCTCGCGGACGCCGGGACGACTCTGGTCCTCTTGTACTGTCATGTGATGGACCCTTCCCTGCATGTACACGCACGTCGCCCTCCCCACCTCCCATCCCCGTTCTCTTGTAATTCGGTCTTCCCTTTTGGTGGGGTGGGAATCGTTTTGCTACAAACTTCTGGGCTTGGGGCTGTCATTCTGCGGGTTGCTCGGGGTGGCAGGAGGTGGTGGGAACTCCCCACCCTGCCGCCGTCGCTTTTTTGTCTGAGTGAGACGTATGCGAGGAGCTGTTATCCAGCAGGTTGGTTTAGTGGGCACAGAAGGGGCAAGGAGGGTTATGGGATGGGGTGTGTTGTGCCTGTTTGTTTTGGAAGGCGGTTGCGGGTAGGAGAGTAGGGGAAGAGGTAGAAAGGAGGGTTGCATTGTCTTAAGAAGTGGATGGATAGCGGCAGCAGCTTGCTCCACTGGCGATTAAATCTTAGCATTTGGAGTTGAGGAGTAACCTTAGTGCCTTAAGAAAACAACTCTCTTACCTTCTTTCCATCTGTTCTTGCGCCACCTCGCGCCCCTTTTCCCCCACCCCTCTCAGATTTGTTTGGTTAGCCTGAAGATCTTTCTCGTTTTTCACTAGTGAAAAGGAGATAGTGGTAGGATAAACTAATACAGCCTCAGCTCAGAAATGTGCACTGCAGAAAACGGTGGAAATAGGGAAATGACAAGAAAGAAGATTGCTCTGACTAGGAGCATTTAAGTTCACTTTAGGCAACTTAATGTTTTACCCTTATAAAATATATTTTGGTTTTATTTAAGGAAACATTCTGGGAAATAGCTTTCTTTAGTCAAGTATTTATGAATGATTTAGTTCTTAAAAAAAAGTAAAAAAAAAAAACCCTCACGATATTATTCTTTTATAAAAATGTTAAGCTGACTGTTGCTAGTGCTTCCTAAATACAAAATGGACCCGTTTTCACAATTGCTTATCTAAAGATCTCTTCCACTGACAACCTGTGTAGAAATTGTTGAGTTCGTTCGGTTAGAATCAGGCAGAATGACAGCATTGAAACCCTGGCTCACGATATAATTGTGTTAAGTTTTGCCGCGGCACACAGTAATTCGGAGGTGTCTTAGGTCAGTTTTTGTTTTAGAATTCTTTGGGTTTTTTTCCCGTATCTTCTTACTTAGATCCATGAAATATGGCTCTGTATCACAAAAATATGTGTATTTTGAAAAGTTGTCAAATTTTAATTAAACACGATGTTGGCTTTGATGGAAAAGGGGGTTTAGAATATCTGCTTTACCTACTTGGATACTCAAGTAGGATTGGAAGACGTTGAAAATTGAGTGGATGTGGTATGTCTCACATGCAATCTCTAATATTACATTTTTAATGTAATGTGTATAACTGTACTGTATTTGAAAGGAAATTTTTTCCTGGGCTCTAATTATATTTGAGAAATGTTTCCCATAGTCCCAGTCAGGAGACCTAGCAAAATCCATCTCATACGTTTTGTCATTGTTATTTTGAAATAAACAGTAAAACTCCTTTAAACAGGATATACACTTGTTGATTGGGTTTTTTTTTCCCCCAGTATCCTATATGTGAAGCACCTATTCATAGTGTGAATTGGGATTAAGTGTAGTTTGTGTAATTATTTTAAATTGCCTCTTGCTATTAATGTGCTTACTTTCAATACTATGTAAACATATTTACAAAAAAGCCATATTCTTTTTCCTTTGCATGTGTGTGAATATTTATATGTATGTATTTTTGCATTGAATATATTCAGTGCTCTTATTGCTTGAAATAATTTTTATAAAACATTACACTTTCTACCTTTGAAAAGAAAATGAAATGACCCAAAAGTCTTTTTTTTTTTTTTTTAATGTTTATTTGTTTTTGAGAGAGAGAGAGAGAGTACGAGCAGAGAGAGGGAGACACAGAATCTGAAGCAGGCTCCAGGCTCTGAGCTGTCAACACAGAGCTGATTGCCGGGCTTGAACTGGTGAACAGCGAGATCATAACTTGAGCCGAAGTTGGATGCTCAACTGACTGAGCCATCCACGCGTCACCTCGCCCCCTCCCGCCCCCATCACCAAAAGTCTTATTTTGAAATGAGACATAGGAATTGTAAGCAGTAATTTAGGGTCATATAACAAATTAATATTGAGCCAGTAGTGAAATTTTAAATCTCAGTTCTTAGCCTAGGTTTTTAAAGTAACCTGATTTTTTTTTTATAACTCATCTATATTATTCTAATTTCATGGAGGAAAAAGATCATTTTAGTTGTCATGACTGCTGGTAGTTAGCTAAGATGTTTAACCCTTGATAAGGAAAGTGATGTTTGCCTTTCTCTATTTGTGGAACTCATGTCTTTAGGTTAGATTTCTGACTACTCTGTACTTTATTCCTGGTTTTTCTTTATAATTTAATTGAAAAGTTGTTCTACAAATTCTATGTCCTAATCAGTAGTTCTATTTACAATTTATAATTCGATTATTTTTCTATCATCATCCTGTACTATAATTTGAGTATGCTCAGCTAACAAATGTTTGAGTGCTTACTGGATTTAATAAATAGTATCCTAGTACTCATTATGACTATGACTATGACTCATTAAGTGATAACAGACAAAGTCCTGGATTTTATGGAATATATAATACAGTTAGTATCTGATAAGTCATAAAATTTAAAACAAAGTAAAGTTGAGGATAAAGGAAATGCATTAGCATATTTTTAAGCATTACCAGAACTTGTATAGTCCATTAGGATAGTCAGTCTGGGAGACAGGCCAAGTTTTTGTTTTTCTACTTTTTCTTAACTTTTAATTTGGATAAAATTTCAAATTTACAAGAAAAGTTGGAAGAATAGTACAAGGAACTCCTGTATACCTTTACCCACATTCACCAGTTGTATTACATTTTGCTTACATTTTGCTGCATTTGCTTTATCATTATTGCCTTATATCTATTTATCTATGTATTTTTTTTCTGAATCATTTGAGGATAATTTGGTGACATCATACCTCTCTACCCCTAAATTCTTCAGTGTATATTTCCTAAAACCAAGGACATTATCTTACCTAATCACAGTGTATTATTAAAACCAGGGCATTTAAAAATGATATAATACTATTATCTATTTCATAATTCATGCTCAATTTTTATCTTTTATCTATTAGTCCCCTTCCTCCCCCCACCCCACATCATGTATCCTGTGATCTCTTTAGTCCTATCTCTTTAGTCTCTCTTAACGTGGAACACTTCCTCAGCCTTTCTTGTATTTCTTGACCTTGACATTTTTTAAAAGTACAGAATGGTTATTTTGTACAATGTCCCTCAATTTGAATTTGTCTGTTGTTTTCTCATGACTAGATTGGTTATACATTTTTGGCAGGAATACCTCTAAAGAGATATTGTCTCTTTATCAGTACATCATATCTTGAGGTTCGTGATGTTGGTTTGTCCCAATGTGGTGATACTAGGTTTGAAAATTTGGTTAAGGTGGTGTTCTCCATATTTCTCCCTGAAAGTTACTATTTATCCTTTTGTAATTGATATGTAATTTATGGGAAAATGTTTCGAGGAACAGAATATCTACATAGTCACACCCATATTTCACTCACAAGTTTTAACATCCTTTCATGATTTTCTATCTTCACCATTCCTTCTATAATTAGTAGTTGGTATTCTGTCATAAAGCCATCTTTCCCATCTCCTCTCCACTATTTATTTATCCAGTTATTTCTATTTGTATGAACTCCTGGATTATTATTATTATTTTTATTTTTATTATTATTATTTTTTTTTTTTAGAGAGAGCACACCTATGAGCTGGGGAGAGAAAGGGAGGGAGGGAGAGGGAGAGAGAGAGCAAGAGAGAGAATCTTAAGCAGGCTCCACGCTCAATGTGGAGCCTGATGCAGGGCTTGATCCCAAGATCCTGGAATCGTGACCTGAGCCAAAATCAAGAGTTGGATGTTCAACTGACAGGCACTCCTGAACTCATGGATTCTTACTTTATTTAATGGTTACATCCATTGCTGTCAATATTTTGATTCCCAGATTGTCTCAGGTTTGGCCTTTGGGTGCCTCATCAAGCTGGTTCCAGTGTTTTTTACAAATCACACCTCTCTACAACCCCTCTCACCCTTATCTCTCAAATGATTTTTTTTTTTTAAGTTCATTTATTTTATGAGAGAGAGAGAGCGTGCGCAAGCACCTGAGCAGGGGAAGGGAAGAG